GCTCTCAAACTGGAGCAAGTAATAAGTACTCGACCCAGGTTTGGGAAACTCCCCACTTGAATACAGTGAGAGGAAAAAAGTATTTGATCCCCTGCTGATTTTTGTACGTGTGGCAACTCGAACCTTCAGCTCCCTCCACAAATTGTCTATGGGATTAAGGTCTGGAGACTGGCTAGGTCACTCCAGGACCTTAATGTGCTTCTCCATGAGCCACTCCTTTGTTGCCTTAGCCGTGTGTTTTGGGTCATTGTCATGCTGGAATACCCATCCACGACCCATTTTCAATGCCCTGGCTGAGGGAAGGAGGTTCTCACCCAAGATTTGACGGTACATGGCCCCGTTCATTTGATGCGGTGAAGTTGTCCTGTCCCCTTAGCAGAAAAACACCCCCAAAGCATAATGTTTCCACCTCCATGTTTGACGGTGGGGATGGTGTTCTTGGGGTCATAGGCAGCATTCTTCCTCCAAACACGGCGAGTTGAGTTGATACCAAAGAGCTCCATTTTGGTTTTATCTGACCACAACACTTTCACCCAGTTGTCCTCTGAATCATTCAGATGTTCATTGGCAAACTTCAGACGGGCATGTATGTGCTTTCTTGAGCAGGGGGACCTTGCGGGCGCTGCAGGATGTTACCAATTGTTTTCTTGGTGACTATGGTCCCAGCTGCCTTGAGATCATTTACAAGATCCTCCCGTGTAGTTCTGGGCTGATTCCTCACCGTTCTCATGATCATTGCAACTCCACGAGGTGAGATCTTGCATGGAGCCCCAGGCTGCGGGAGATTGACAGTTCTTTTGTGTTTCCTCCATTTGCGAATAATCGCACCAACTGTTGTCACCGTCTCACAAAGCTGCTTGGCAATGGTCTTGTAGCCCATTCCAGCCTTGTGTAGGTCTACAATCTTGTCCCTGACATCCTTGGAGAGCTCTTTGGTCTTGGCCATGGTGGAGAGTTTTGGAATCTGATTGATTGCTTCTGTGGACAGGTGTCTTTTATACAGGTAACAAGCTGAGATTAGGAGCACTCCCTATAAGAGTGTGCTCCTAATCTCAGCTCATTACCTGTATAAAAGACACCTGGGAGCCAGAAATCTTTCCGATTGAGAGGGGTCAAATACTTATTTCCCTCATTAAAATGCAAATCAATTTATAACATTTTTGACATGCGTTTTTCTGGATTTTGTTGTTGTTATTCTGTACATCACTGTTCAAATAAACCTACCATTAAAATTTTGATCATTTCTTTGTCAGTGGGCAAACGTACAAAATCAGCAGGGGATCAAATGCTTTTTTTCTTCACTGTAACTCCATCACCAATGGGGGGGGGGGTGAGGGTGGAGTGTTTGATGGCACAAAACCCAGGCAGGTGCTTAGTTTTGGTGGAACTGATGGTAAGACCACTTCTTCGTGGCACTCTACATGTTCAACAGCAGCACCTCCAACTCTTCCAAGCAGCAATCATCAGCAAACATGGTTGATCAAAAGGGAGCCATCCTTCGACCACACCCGGGCATCGATCAGCGGTCCCATTGTATTCGTACCAGACGAATTTTTTTGCGACACAGCCCAGGAAAACCTATCGAACTACGTGGTGAAAGTGATGTTAAACAATCTAGGAGTCAGACTATCCCTGTCGCAACCAAAGGTGAACGGGGAATGTCTTGGACTGCTAGACACATAGCTTTACCCGGGCCTGCCCATCATCATGAAGGCCCTTAATTATTGTGAGCAGCGAGTCAGGGATTCCAAAATACGCATAACGGCCTAAAGCCCTGGCCTGTTATCATAAGCCTTGGCTACATACACGGTCATGATGCACAGCCGAGGTGTAGATGAAATGGGTTGAAAACATCACAACTGCGAGACTGGACTCGGTCAAATCGCATGTCTGGCAGTGGCAGCTCTACCTCAACGTGGGGACACGGCTGGGAAGTGAGAGCAACAACGGATTAGAGACAATGGGCATTGATATTTTAACATTCAGTACCTCATGATTACAGGATTTTAGATAACCAACCAACACGCACTACGAAACAATGCACTCGATTGCAAAAATAAGCCAGCTCGGGGCTCTGGATTTCCCCCTTTCACCTCAGCTGGATTCTGATTCTTCTGCTGGTGTTGTCCTCTTGTTTCTTCTACCGGGCACTGCTCCTCTTTGTTTTATTTATAATCTCCCTTTCCCTGATCATGTGACTCTTAATTGGCCAGATGTCTAGGTCCATCTCTTCATTTGGGGCACGTGTCACAATCACGTGACTCTTATTTAGCCGCCTGTTTGGATCCCTTTACTCATAGGGGCACGTGTCACAATCACGTGACTCTTAATTGGCCACCTGTTTGGATCCCTTTCCTCATAGGGGCACGTGTCACAATCACGTGACTCTTAATTAGCCGCCTGTTTGGATCCTATTCCTCGTAGGGGCACGTGTCACAATCACGTGACTCTTAATTGGCCACCTGTTTGGATCCCTTTCCTCATAGGGGCACGTGTCACAATCACGTGACTCTTAATTGGCCACCTGTTTGGATCCCTTTCCTCATATGGGCACGTGTCACAATCACGGAACTCTTAATTGGCCACCTGTTTGGATCCCTTTACTTATAGGGGCACGTGTCACAATGACGTGACTCTTAATTATCCACCTGTTTGGATCCCTTTACTCATAGGGGCACGTGTCACAATCACGTGACTCTTAATTGGCCACCTGTTTGGATCCCTTTCCTCATAGGGGCACGTGTCACAATCACGGGACTCTTAATTAGCCGCCTGTTTGGATCCCTTTCCTCATAGGGGCACGTGTCACAATCACGTGACTCTTAATTGGCCACCTGTTTGGATCCCTTTACTCATAGGGGCACGTATCACAATCACGTGACTCTTAATTATCCACCTGTTTGGATCACTTTACTCATAGGGGCACGTGTCGCAATCACGTGACTCTTAATTGGCCACCTGTTTGGATCCCTTTACTCATAGGGGCACGTGTCACAATCACGTGATTCTTAATTGGCCTCCTGTTTGGGTTCGTTTCATCATTGGGAAATTCACAATCACTCCAGAACAGCGAACTGGAGGCACTGCAACTTTGTGCCACACACTCTCATCTCGATGAGATGAGTTAACAAGCACCAGCTATTGGAAAGCACCATCATCACATTAATAACATCTCCATATAGTTAACCTTGTGGCATCCATGCCGGTTATATTACATATTGAACCAGGGGATATAACACACATTGCAATGAATCAATAAAAAACAATGGACACAACATTAAAATTGTTTATTTTTCCAGTCCATATCCATACAAGATTTGTTCACTTACATTCCAACTGTTTAACATAAAACAGAAGTGACAGTATGTTGTCGTAGTTTAAAACAGTTGTTCTCAAACACCCATATCTCAATCTTGATTTGAAGCTTTCATGGCTGCAGGAATCCATACTCGTTGGTTCTTTACCGAAAGAACCAAAGAGTAGACCCATATCTCTGTTCTCCAGCCATTGAAGTGTTACATAGATGAGATGCTTCTCTAGTAGCATTATTGGTCAAAACGAGATTTGAATAGTGAACAGCATTTGAGTTCCACTGTGTTAAACGCACATTTCTCGAGTCAGCACGTGTGTTTTAAATAGAAGCGGAAATAGGACACTCGCTCAACATGATACAGCTATTCAGGTTAAGATGCTTATATACTTAGTTTCATTCTATCTAAAAAAATTCCAGTTCCAACACCACACGTGTATATTTATATAAAAGAGAAATATAACTCAATAGTATTTCTAAACATTATTAATGCACCAACATGCCAAATTTACGTTTGTCAGTAGTAGCAAGTCAAGTGTTCGAAATCTAACTTTGTTTTTAAATGGTAGTATGTGCCAAAGCCAATCAACAGGCTTTCGTTTAGTGCTACAATATGTATGGTTCCTAAGTGCCGGGCCTCTAGAAAGGGTTTCTGAACATGAGTTAATGTCTCTTGCCAGTGAAATGCGACTAATTTGTAAACATATATTCCCAAAGGAAACACAGTGTGGCGCTTAATGCTGTGTCAGCTTATCCTTAAAGTCAGTGTGACCCAACAAAAACACATGTACTTTTGCAGACGTTAAATTGCTTGACAGCTTTGTTGTTGGTTGATATTGAACGTGCTGCTGTGGCGCTCAGGTAAACAAAACGTATAATACAGGGTGTGATCGGGCAACAAGATGGCTACAAGAAAAAATAACTTTTGTACAGGTGCACAAACCTTGCATCTCATGGACACGATCTGTCCCTGTGTTCAATGGTTAATACACGTGGTAGTAGTTACATTGGAGAAACCAAACGACGTCTCGGACCGCATTCGTGAACACAAAGCAGACCTGAAACACGGTAGGACCAACACCTCGGCCGTGGCAGATCACTGTTATAATTCAGTAGGTTCACATGACATTGACTTCTCCAAGACAGAGGTTCTTTGCAAGCCATCTGGCTACCATGAGAGATTCGTTCATGAGGCTATCCACATATACAAACACAGAGACAATTTCAACCGAGAAGATGGATTCTGGCTTAGCAATCATTGGAAGGATTTGATAAACCATTTTGGGTCTTAATTGATTGTTCACGCTTACGGTGGCTTTCAGACCGCATCCATTATTTTTCGTCTCCCCCCTCCTCTTTTTCCGAACATAGATGGACTCGTCCATCTGATCAAACTGTCAAATCGCTCTCCGTGGTGCTAATGTTAAAAATAACCGCCACTTTTTCAAATTTTATTGTGGTTTTCACACCTGATGATGATTGCTTGTGTTGCAGTCAAAACGTCGTGAGGATTTTGTTTTATATTTTTTATTGTTTCCCTTCTACGTGACTTTACCTAAAGAACCAATAAAATGGTTCATATTCTTATCAGGCTTTTTTTGTCAACCCTCAGGATACATTTTTATGTTACAGTGTGGAACTGGCATAAATTGTTATTCGGAAATCACACACGAAATGTAAATAGAGATTCCAGATTTAGAACAGGGTTTTTATTCTTATACGTCAAAATATGGCACTTTTATTGCGATTGTGAAGGCACTGCCGTCCTGTTAACAAGACCCACGTCAGAGCTCCCACTCTCAATGTGGTCGTTAATAGAACTGGACCCAACTTAAGAAAACTTAGCGACATTTTTGCACCTATGCGGGGAATAAAACGACCAGTTATACATAAATATATAAAGAGATTGATTTAACTTTGAGACCTTTTTACCTGTATTATGGGAAAAGTATGCTTCTTACAATTAAAGAACGGCAATTACTTATCTTCTTTGGTTCTTTCGGTAAAGTCACGTAGAATGAGAAACGTCGTAAGAATATTATTGTTATTTTATTTTATCAATTTATTATTTTATTCTCATTCTACGTGACTTTACCGAAAGAACCAAAGAAGATGAATCCTTGCAGTCACGAAAGCTTTAAATGGCAATTACTTAGTCAGGAAAGTCTCAACATTTTTTTTGTCAAGAGGGTCCTGAATTTGGATGTTTTGCCAATTCCTATAATTATTTTTTTGGCTTGCAGGAAGAAACCGGAGTACTCGGAGAACACATCTGCATGCAAGATTGCAACATTCCGTGGGTTTGCAGGATTGCTGTAATCTCCTGTCCACCTCACAGCCTCATGGCAACAACACCTGGCAAGCCCTGGCAGTTACCCATCCAAGTACTAACTAGGCTCTGTCCTGTTTAGCTTCGGAGATCTGAGATCAGACTTGCATTAGCCGTCGTCATGAGCCCTTTAGTCAGGCGACTTTCTTGGCAACATTTCAGCTTCAACTCTACAAAAAAATGCAGCTTAGCATCACTTATACCACGAATCAACCAGGGCTAGGAATGAGTGTTCTGGTCAGAAACCAAGGTCATAAATCAAGGGACGTTTTTGGAGAGATTGATTTTTAAAAAGGGGGACATAATCAAGCCCTGTATAAAGAAACCACATTTGCTATATTCAGCAGCATAGCACAGAGTATTATAATTTTATTAAACACACATTTAATAAAATTGCCTTCTAAAAAAGGAACAATTCCAGTATTATTCCAAAATTCACCGAGTAAAACTCATCATAAGATACTGCTGTGGTCGCTGTCCATTGAAAGTGGCCATATAAACCACTGTCATAGTCTATGATGAAACATCAAAGTCCGAGTCAAATAACAGTAAGTCAGCAATTCAAGTACAAGCACACAGGCAAAGCAGCACGATGAAGCCGAGTCATCTACGGACAAAGAGCACTAAACAAGCAGGCATAATGAGCAGAGCTCAAAGAGTCACTAAAATGATTTGCCTTTTGAGTTAAAGGATATCCCATGGCATAAAAAAGTACAAAGTTGAAGATTACCAAAATAACCCATGTCCCCCCCCTTACCTCCCAAAGAATTGCAACTCTAGAATATATAATTTAGGAAGTTAATGCCACGTATGCATGTTATTTTTTTTATAATTAAAAAAATCTATGTTTCGCGATATTGCGAAATATATCACGGCATTTACCATTTCCATACTTTCAATGTCCACCAAAAAAGACAAATGCTCACATACTCGATTAGGAAAGCTTTCCCGACCCAAGACATCACAAGACTGCTTGTCATAGCATAAACCACACTGGCCACAACACGCAGCAGCTGCTGCAGACATTAGCCATTTCACATTCGTCACTGCTTTATACTCCCAGAGATGAGTAACCACCGAGTCAAAACAAACTGTCAGATGGGCCACATCTGTGCGGTCGCCAGTGACCACACAGTGCCTGAGATCAATAATACAATGTTTGCTCATGCATTTATTATTGCTTTTTTATGCCCAGGCGATTAGGCCCAGGTATCTAATACCCACGTTCCACTTGCACATCCGAGCCACGCCAGCCCGGGCCCTTCACTGTACAAGGTGGGTTTTTTCCACTGCCTACCCGCCATGCCAAGCTGGAACCAAACCATGGTATGGTGGGGGCCTCGCATGACATTTTGAATTAAGCAGGACCAAGGGTATTGTCTAATGATCCATTCATTGTGTGTGATGTTAGTCACTACACTGAGGACGTAGCGTCAAGCAAATCAAATACACGCATTTCAACACGTTCACCGCGTTCACCGCGTTTGACGGCAATGGCACGACCCGGCTTCCGCAGTGAAAGATCAACCTGGGCACCTCCAGAGCCGTGCCGGACTGGCTCGACACGGCCTTGGTGCGGTTCGGTTGTACAGTTGGAAAAGAGGTGTAAGAGGCCTCAAATCCAGCCACCCGCCCTTCAGCATTTCCCAGCGAGCCCAACCCGCACGGAGGTGGGCCTCGGGGTCGGACACGGTGGTCACTGGCCGCCCTCGTTGGTGGTGATGGCGACGAGCTGGCGGGCGGCCTTGGCGATGTCGTAGGCGCATTGGATCACCTGCTGCGTGAGCAGCTGCAGGTCCACAGGAGGCATGCCGGGGCCCCACGGTGCGGCCGTCTTGCGGCACTCGGCGGCGAGGCGGGCGGCGCTGCTCGTGAGCAGCCGCAGCGAGGAGCGCACGGCCTCCAGCGCCGGCCTCTGTGGGTCCAAGGGTGCAGATTCGGCACTCGCGAACACTCGCAAACAACGGGGCTGCAAACGTGGCCGGAACCCGGCTCATAGGTCAGTGCCGAGCCGGCACAGCTGTATATCCCGAGTATGAATCCAGGCAGCTGCCAGTGTTTAAAGTTGGGTTCTCAAGTGCAGCATGTTGATGATCTGAGCCCTGTTACCAATGGCTGTATATCATATTACATTCGGTGTTTTTCCCTCATTTCTGCTGTCTGTCTCACCTGATGACGATTGCTTGTGTTGCGATCGAAACGTCGTGATCGATTAATTTTCTATCTACGTGACTTTACCGAAAGAACCAAAGAGTATGGATTCCTGCGGTCATGAAAGCATCAAATCAAGATAATAGATTGAATTTGACTTTTGTAATATGAACATCTCTAAACCAAAACGTGTGGTTCTGAATCCTCGGTATAATAAAAGGTAACTTGCAGGCATCTCAGTAGTTGTGTTATCATCTTCTGTTCTAGCATGAGGTGATGCACTGTCCTGTCTTGACAGTTCTTCGTGGACATTTCTTAGTCTCATGACCAGATGGTAAGTGGCACAAATCAGCACAATTTGATTAAATTGGAAAAACGAAAATCATAACACAACAACTTCCTGATCTACCCGTATGTGTACACTCGTGGAATGTGAAAGCTGCTGATATAAATGTAAAAGCTGTCATTACCTTAGGGAATAGAGCTGCCATCTCGTATACTGCTGCAGATATTTTTTCTGAACACGGCACAAAGCTGGGAGAAAAGAGATTTGAGAGACAGAAAAAAAATTACAATGTTTGAGGCAACGCGTTCTTGGAGCAACGGTTTTGCTTTTGGACATGTGAAGTTACGCTCTCGGATATCTCATGCTTTTAATCTCCAACTGAAACAAAAAAACAAGCAATGTTTACGTACGCACGCATCCAACACTATCAACATCATGTTAAAAGTGAAAACAACAACACCCAAACACGCAGGGCGCAATTTACATGCTGACGGGACAGGGCATTTAGACATCCCGGTTTATTACACGCGTTATACTTATCTGCAGACAAAGTTGCCCATCCGCCAACACGCAAATCGCACGCCGTAGCTTTAACTATGTTAAGAGAATTTGTAAGCAAACGAGAAGAAGAAAAGGGCTCGGCTTGCAAATTCCTCGTCTGTTAAAAGACAGCGGCGGAAAAAAAAAAAAAAAGCAGCAAAGCAAAGCGGGGGAAAAAAAGCCAAACAGAGAGGTATGACCCCAGGTGTGTGGTCCGAGGTACCAGTCGAGAGAGCTAGGCCTGTGTGGCTGCAGAGTGGGCTGGTGGGGCATGGGGCGATCGCCCCACAGCACCAGGCTGCTGAAGCACCCCAGGCTGTGCCTGAAGCGCCGTAGATTGTCCCTCTCCAGCTGCTTGCTGTGCGTCCGAGAGAGGGCGGAGGGGGGGACGGGTGGAAGGACAGAAGCGTGCGAGGTGTGCGGGGGGGGGGGGAGGGGGGGACAGGGACAAAGTAAAACAGGACGAGGCAAGGGGCTGGGGCAAGAGATAAGGAAGAGATGGATGGCTGCAGGGAAGAGGAGGTTAGTTGGACATTTGACAGTTGTAATGGAGGTTACAGTTAATGGAAAAGAGGGATGGGGAGAGTGGAAAGGTTGCGGTGTAGAACTAAGCATTGAGGACAAGAAGATATCGCGACTAGTGAAGATGTACAAAGACGAAGGGGGGGGGGGGAGGGGGCGCATGGGAGGGAATTGAAAGGAGGGGAGGCAGGGAGAGAACGCAGTGAAGCTCAGCGCGTGGCCAGGAGAGCCATGCCGATGCGTCACCTGCATCACGTGAAAGCAGGAACATCAACTAAAAGCTTCAGTTTACTTTCTTAGCAGCGTCACGATAATGCTAATAGGAATCTTCGGAAACCTTATGACAGGCATCTCAAAATTTTAATTTTGAAGCTCTCTGCAATTGATTACATTGTCTAAAAATCATCATATCTATCCACTACCACAGACCACAGGATGCCACTTGAGATGAGCATCCTCATAAAACCTGGTCTACAGCACTGGTTGGCATCAGCAGGATCCAATCTATTCAAAAGCAGATGTCTAAAGTGGTCCTCTGATGGTACCAAAAATTAAGGGTGTCTGGCAGTGTGCTCTCTTCACCAGCTATGCATTTTATATTTGATACAGGGACCGTGTTCTGCTCATTCCTATTCCTGCATTGCAACTCAGTGAAAAAACTGTGATTTTTCTTTCACTGAAAAAAAGTTCGGAATAAGGATGCAAAGCAAAACACTCTGCATAGCATATGGCCGATGGACATAAAACACACGAGCCGCAAGCACACAACTCATCCAGATGCCCATTGTTCAGGATGCTCACCAGATCCTCGTGGGTCCCATTTTGTTACAAGTGGATACCCGCTGGCTAGGAAATTATCAATTAATTATCTTTCGTGCCAAGAGTAACTTGCGCTTACAATCAACGAAAACTAAACTTCTTGAGATGCATGCGTGTGCACAACGTGGCCTCTTCCTCTTCAGCGTTGAGGATATGTGCTCTCCCACCGCGTGTTTACGACGCGTTTACTCTCCCCGACCACGCGAGCGAACTTCATTGAAAAGGCGGCGAGCATAAAACCCGCCGGGACCGCGGCTCTCGCGGCGAGAATGCGGAGACACGCGCACCTCTCGTGCTTGCTCTCCTGCGCCGCGCGCAGCAGCTCCTGGATGTTCTTGGTGATGTGCTCCGTCTTGTGGATCACGTCCTCGGGGCTGGGAAGCGAAGGGTCCACGTCTCCGCTCAACTCCTGACACTGCGCCGCGCCGGCGCCATCCCCGAGCGGGGAGGCGCCGGCCTGCCCGTCGCACCTCACCCGCTCCGTGTCAATGCTGGTCCCGCTGCTGCCCACAATCACCAATTACACGCGGGGGAGGGGGTGGGGGGGGGCATACGCGGCGGTGTGGGAAGGCTGCACTTAACCCTTTTCCATTCCGATGACGTACGTGTACTTAGAATAACTTTATCGGTACCGAGGCTCCCACAAGGCCATGCGGGAGGGCGTGTGGCACAGTTTGGCGCCAGCTATCATAGAGTGCGGTCGTGTCACTACAGATCTCTGCGGAGAGTGCAATGTCTCTAAAAACAACGGCGCTACGCCTTTCAAAATAACATTAACGCTAACCGCTTGCGCGTTCCGAGATTCAGCGGTGAATGGTACCACCCTGCAACTTGCAGACGTCTCTGAATGTAAAGGCTTAAGGAACACACTCTCGCTTATTGCTATATTATGTTTGAGGTGCAGTGACCCTCTACCACCAATGCATTTATTGTACGCTTCCTTTGCAATGTGGTAAAGATAAAAGTGCAGCCCTGAAATGTCTTGTTCAAGCCACCGCAAGGCAGAAGGGCCTCTACTCGAGTTGAGCTCGAGAAGAACCTCTCTCTTTTTGACCAACTTTTCCGTGCTGGTGTCTTGGAAGATGTCGTAGTTATCCGCACTTTACCCGAACCGCACGTGAACTGCCAATGGGTTCTCTGGTTTTCCCCTCCACATTTATAAACACGTATTGATTTGTTTAGATTGTGTTGGTGCTATAAATGTCCAAATAATGGGCCACTTTGTTGAGCCATCATTTGTGTCCAGGTTCTTCTGAAAAAAAAGTTAATACCTCAGTCGGCTTTGCTTAGTAGGGTGGGTATAGTTTAGTTGTATTTGTACGTGTTTGGATGATTAGTTTACCTCTCTTGTACTCTCTGCACGACTATCATGTTGTTGTATTGTTTGTCGTTGTAACGTTCTTACCCGCCCCTACTGGACATCAGCTTTTTAGCTCATCGGATTCCTCCAGGATAAATAAATATCCTGATTCTGACTGGTGTACCCATTTATACTTCTGGATTGCAGGGGCAGGAGGGGGGCGGGGTTTAAGAAACTTGCCCATCGTCTCAAACCGCCGTGCCGAGAGATCGAATTGGGCAACCGCTGGACTCGCAAGTCCGAAGAGCGTGAAACCTTTCCACCGCGGCAGCATATGCATTTTTGCAACGTGACCTTGCGCCAATTGCACAAAAAGGAAAATCCATAACGTTGTTTCGGCGAGATTCCTCTGGGAGTCTCATCGTCACAAGGTAAGCTTTTATTGTGAATGCAGCGGAAACACATTCTGATAATGGTGCGATGAGTTTTCCCCCTGGTATGCGATGTATGTTACATTTCCAAATCACGCGATCGCCCCCTGACTTTTAAGGATATAAATATTTTTTGTGTCGCTAGAGTTTTATCGTGCGTGAATAATAAATGACTCGAGAAAATGACGGCGCATGTGCTACGTGAAGGTTCATTGGTCGGTATGGTTAAGGAAAGGCCGACTTCCATACCCTGTGTTATTTTGCTCCTCTTCATTTGGAGTGTTGTCATAGTCGCTTCCAGCAGCACTCAGTCTCTTGTCCAGTTTTGATGCCTAAAGGAGAAAAGTGCATTCATTCAATACAAAAACAGCAAAAGCAAGCCATTCACTTAAAGATGCAAAACAATAGTAACAGCACAAACTTAGATAACCGAGATCAGCGATTCCATCGAAAAAACGCTTTCACTGACAATTACATTCACGGCAATGTAGCAGCAATATTTCCGTCTACTGCCAAAACGTCTAACCAGCGTGTTGCAGATGTTCGAATTATTCGAGGCATTAACTGTTTTATTATTGTTCACCAGCTGTTTCACATGTAACGAGAAGATGCTGCGCCAGGACATTTCCAGTTTAATGGAGCCGTGAAATGTAAGTTTATGCAACAATGCCCGTTAACTGTGAAGACAGGCCAACAAAATGCAAATGACCAGCCAAAAATAACTTGCAGTTCACCAGGCAAGACTTTTTTTTGTTGCTCTGTGCATTTTTATGATTTATACAGCCACTTAAAAATTGACTAGCATTTTTTTCTGTCCGTCACTCTTGTCCGCTCCTTCTTCCTTCTCTTCTCTCCTTAATCTTCCCTCTCTCTCGTCTCTCTATCGCATCCTAGAGCACAGCTGGGGATCACTACGAATATGCTCTTTTGTACTCGCTCACGCGGAAGATGAGTATGCCAGTTTATTGTGTTTCTGTACTGGCCGTTGCTCTTGAAAATATGAATGACATTCAAAGTAACAGTTTCATTGACTCGTGCAGAGAGCTATCTTCGGACAAGCTGCATCATGCGCTGTCGAAGCAGGTATTCCCGTGGTGCTGGCCGGCACAGCAACACTCGTTCACCTGTGTCCAGGTGTGCTGGTAGGTGACCACCAGGCGCGGAGTCTCTTGGCCCCAGGACACGAGGTTGGGCGACGACGGAAAGGACACGGCATTTGCGAGAGGCCCTCTTCCAGCTGGAGCCATGCAGCCTGGCACCACCCCTACGTAGCGTGGTGGTGAGAACTACCCCACAGACACAACAAACAAAAAAGCATATCCCATAGTCGACGGTATAGATTCACACAGTTACAATGTGTTCTCGTTACTTTGCATATTCCTACCCTGCAGTGTCCTGTAACTGACACCACTGCCAACAGTCTTTGGCTGGTCGTCTTTGTAAAAGAGCTACTAAGCTCAGTGGCCCTTACCAGCTGGAATAAAGTCTTGAGTCTGAGATACTCTATTCAGTTTCAAGTAATATCGAGACATAGAGAGAACAACGCTGTTAATCAAAGCCTCTCTACATCTTCCACTAATCTCTATACACTTATTAAATATTTTAACACTCCACTGCGACATGTTTTCCAACATAGCCAGTCTAATTTGCTTACGACATTGTTGAGAATATAGTAAGAGGGTAATTAGAAGTCATCGTGTATCTATTAATGGATCATCCTATATTGTTGCCGGGTACCAAAATTATATTGAATTGCAAGGGAGTCTTTTGAATATCAATGGCAAGAATATTACAGCCCCCTAGCTGTCATTATAACACCATTAGACACATGTAATAGTTTAGTTGCATTTTGTCGGATGAGTTGCAAAGCTTCATTGCCGGTGAATTGCATGGGTCTACTCATTAGTAATGCCCTGTGGGTGATTGATAGAGCAATCATCAAGATATCATCACGATGACAATGCACAGTGGTTCTGGTATAGAGGAGGTCGTGGGTTTGATCCCGACCCTGACGCCTGCTGCTGTATATTTGGAGTTTGCGTGTTCTCACCGTGGTTGCGTGGAATTTTCCCCGGGTCCTCCGGTTTTTCCCCCCACATTTAGAGTCAATCAACACGCGTTCAGATTATTCGGCGACTATAAAATTCCCACGCGATAAGCCACTTCGTTGAGCTATCATTCGTGGCCAGGTCGCTTCTGAAAACAGAGCCATACAGCTCAATGGACCATACCTGGTAAAATTAAATAATAGCTGAGTTTTAGTTTAGACAGCAAATTAGCCGGCCTCGCCTGGGGACCTTTGGGCTCGGTGTCCCTTCGCTGGCGACGTAACTCACGCTGTTTTGGAAGGGCTGGCTGCTCTGGAATGCGGGCACCTCCCCTGGAGCCGCGGAGTCCCCGGCGGGGTGGTAGGCGCGGTGTCCCGTCTCGTACATGGAGAACGGCCGACACACCCTCCGCGGCCCAACATCGTTGCGATCGAGCGGAGCGAGCGGTGGAGTCGTGGATGGGGCAGAGGAAGGGGTGCTGTGGTTCTGGTAAACGCTGGTGTTGTACTGCTGCCGAAGCGCCGCGTTCTCGCTGTGCAGTTTCCTGACCTGACGGCAAAAAGGAAATATCACCGCAACTCAACGTCATCATTGCCAACATCATCAAAACCACTCGCAAGTAGATCAGCCCTGTAGCATTGGGGGGGGTAAAGCCCCCCCCCCCGCCACTTCTTCTAAAGGTTCTGCCCCAATAGTAAATTGTGAGAAAAAAAAGTGAAGAAATGTTGGTACAGCCTTTCCACGTGTACACAGGGAGTGAGAGCTAGGGCAGAATGCGTGATCCACAAAAGCAGACCGTATCGTCACTCATTCTGCTTAATATTTAACATCTGTCAATTTATTTTTTAACATTGATTGTGTTGTGACTCCCCCCCCCACCCCACAATCCCCTGAATGTTTCTATGTCCTCCATGAAGGAAGACCATGATACAGGGTTTCAATATGAGGAATGATCACCAGGTACAACAGGGCATATATATTCTTTGGGTCTTTCACGTAAAGTCACGCAGATATGTTCGAAGAAAATAACAAAAAAAAACACAGATATTTTTTTTGTTATTTTCTTTGAACCTATCTACGTGACTTTACCGAAAGACCCAAAAAAATATTCAATTCCTGCAGTCACGAAAGCTTTAGGTACAGGGCATATGTTGTGGTAGCGCACACCTGTAAACCATCGCTGTGGAGGCAGGGGTTGGTTGAACACATGGGTCTGTAATGCCCCCCAATTGACAAGGCGACGAGGTGGCCAGCAATATTGCAGTACAGCAAGTGGATTCGTGAACCCATCTGGATAGGTCTTTGAGTGTTACCCCCCTTGCCTAAGTGGTTTTGCTTCAATAGGCACTCTCCTCCCACAAGAAAAGCACTCCTTAATAGGAAATCGGTCAAACATCCCAATGTAGGAAACCTCCTCACTCTTGAGGCTCAATTGTCACCGACACTCTCTCAGATAAACAAACGGTAATGTATTTCATTATCGTCACACGAGTTATCACCAAGCTTTGCCATCGGTGAAATCAAACTCGTCGCTTTTTTCCCCAGACAATACCAATTCACCTTATTGCTCAATTAACAATAATTTGAGTATCAACTCGCACTGCTGCGTGGGATACACAGCCGCGGTGTAAGGTGCGTGTGACGTCAGCACGGGTGACATGATCACGCAGGTGTGCGCGGTGACGTCGGCACTTGCAGCCAGACAGCAAAACTTTTTTTGTAATAAAGTAGAATGGGGCCAAGCACGCAATCTTAAAGCATCTCAAACTGAGAAAGCCGGCCAGCTGGGTTGCTGCAGGGCTTGCATTTTTTTTTATTAACAATGATCAATACCCGTGTTGCATGCCAGCTCTGTGAAGGACAGGCAATAATAATGCATGGTGGAGCAGTTTACAACATTTGGCACGGGCTTGTGCTAGTTGGCCAGCACATACAGCAATGGGTCACAGGAACACCAGACGCAATAAGGGAGATCAATGTGCTGCCATGTGCATCTGCACTGTTCACACGTGCACACACACCAGCCCTTTCCAGTGAGCCGTGCACTCAAATGATCAACGTCTACGTATCTTTTACTATTAATCAAAACGTTGATTTTCTTGAAAGATGCGAGCGCAATTAATGTATTTACGCCAACATGCCGTGACTTTGCGAATCATCTATTGTGATGGGATGTAAACACGCAAAAGGCTGATGACAAAAAGATTGCAATGCAAAATTACAAGTTCTTTTTTTTTTTGTGCGACACTGTCACTCATGAGTCTGTACTTGCTGCACTGCACAAGTGGATGGTGACATGTGGCTCACTGCAAAGATGCAGCCGAACTAAATACCTTGAGTCATTACATGCATTTGGTATGAAATACCAAATATTACCATCTCCGTAATATGGAAAAGTATTGCCTCTACTGGATGAAGGCCTCTCCCATGTTGCCACCAATCCTCATGGTTTTGCAGTGCCACAACCCATCATACTTAAATAATCAGACAACAAACCCAGTCACCAGTGACTGCACGTTAAGTTTGGTTCTGCATTTAATTTGGCTAAATTCCATCTTTGGGAATTAATATATCGGTTTGAGCGTCACGAAGAGCGTGCGAGAAGATGTCAGAGGTAGCTCTGTGATAACCACTTCCGTGGGCCATTTTATAACACGAAAGGTTTGCAGTGCTCTGCAGGAGATACGAAAGTATACTTCGTCTTGTGACGTGACGAAAAAAATCGAATCAAATCGCCCAGCTCCAGTGCGCCACCCATGTTGCACCGTCGCGCACCTCGTGCTGCAGGTGCTGCAGCTCCTCGTTGAGGAAGCTGTTGACCTTCAGCAGCTGTTGCACCTTGGCCTCAGACGCTGCCAGGGCATTCTTGACATCCAGCAATTCCCGGATGGCGACGGGGCCATCCGTGTCGTTCGGAAATGCGGCATTCTGCTTGTGGATGCAAGAGAGGAAGGGCAGGGTGGGGGTAAGGGGACAGAGGAGGAGGAGGAATGGTCGGGGTGTGGCATTAGCACAGCCGCTAGGAGCCACTCAGATTATCGGTAAGCCATGGAAACTCCACAATAGTGTCACTGTTGAGTCCGACTAATGTGTTAAAAGCTCAGTACAATGCAATACAATCGCGTGCTAAAAACATTAATCTTTGCCCTATCGCAAACAATCAAAGTGCTCACCACAATGCTTTCCTGAACATGTATTTCAAGGTTCAAATGTAATTTCAACAGCTACTTTGGCGGTGATGTAGACGCAGGGTTTGAAAATTCTTTGCTTTAGGTGACTGCGGCGTTTCTGTCATGCTCATTGCGAGGGATAAGACATGAGACAACCTTGTTAATATTCACTTAGATTGCATTAGGCTAAGGTTAAGAATTAAAAATGTTACTTCACAAACAAATGTGACTGTGTGACATTTACATTACATTGCCACTGTGAATAACTTTAAAAGCTTGTGCGACTAAAGTTGAAGAGTTAGAGCTAGAGTAGAGTTAAGCCCCTTGGACTAGGGCGCTAAATATATATAAATCTTAATAAGATAATAATTATATTCCATGCTTTACAGTGTCACAAATTCAAACGACAAAAAGTGTCAAACATCTACAGTATCTAGGTAGATGAGTACTTACAAATATAAATGAAATTCCAGGAATTTTCAATTGGCAAATTGATGGACTCACTAACACAATGTAAGTCAATGTTTTTCTTTACCATACTTCACCATGCTAGTCACAGCAGGTTGGTGAAGGGGGTAGGTTGGCAGGACTGATCCTGATATCACTTGTCACAGTTGTGAGTCACGGACAGGTATCGAACTCGGGTGGCTGGGTTTAAAGTGCACTGTGCTAAACCACTATACCACCACTGGACCAACATATATTCTACTGTAATATTGCATGGGAAAGAAATGTACGGTCCAATGATCGACTGAGTTATTTATATCAAGAAAATTGCAATTGCCTAGTCAATCCAGCATATGGTGCCCTTTTATAGTCACTCTAATGCCAAGTAGAAAGTGACATTAATTTTACATCTTGTTTTTCATTGTTTGAAAATGTCAGGAAGCACAGCTTTTTTTCTGTATCGTCATTGGCCAGATCATGTGACCTAATCCAAAAATAAATAAAGAGCCAAAATATCGGCTGCGAAAGTGGAAATGTCATCATTTCAATGTCATTACCTTGTCCTTGGGTGGACGGGCTCAATAAGGAAATAAATAAATGTAAATGTGTCTGTGGATCGAGCAATTTAATATGTATTCATGCCATTGAATGAGTGTTAAAACGCAAGCTTCTTCATGCATAAAAAATACGGCTTTAAATAAACGAATCTAATTCAGTATTTACATGTAGACGTGTCTGTGAAACTGCTGTCTGTGCGACGATAGGTACAGGGTAGTTATAAGTTGATCCTTACATCAACGGAAAACTGAGCTCTGAAAACTACCAAAGTAAACAAATCACGTGTTCATTTACAGTCCAATAAAAACACAAAGGTCACCAGCCAAACACTCGACATTGAGCACACACACACACACAATTTTGATGTCCTGGATCACAGCGCCGATGAAATATTTACCAGAGATTGATTCAAACACGCTCGAGTCTGCCCCGGTTCAGGCAGGGACACAGAACGACATATTTACAAACAAGACCCCCCTTGCGCCTCGATCTGCTTTGGTACGAGTCGCACGGGGGCATTGGCACGGCACACCGGCTAGCCGAGGCAGCGGTGCAGCCATCAAGCGTGCAGGCGGCGCTGCTGCACCGGAGCGCGCGACGGTCGGACGAGGACAAAGCAGCTGACCACGAGGAGGGGGAAGTTGGAAACAGGGGACTGCCATTTGATTCCCGTGCACCGGAGGACACTGCCAACCGGACGACGCCAACTGCCCGCGGCGGTGGGCAGGAGCGTTGGGCCACGGAAGCCGTCTGCGAGCGGCACTGGCGGACGAGCGGTGCGCGCCACCTTGCTGCGGCCGCCCCTGCCGTGGGGGCCCTGCTCCGAGTCGGGCTCCTCGTCCGAGGCGACGCTGTCGTAGTCGGGCTGGTCGTCCGCGGGAGGAGCGTCCTCGTTCCGGTTCGTCAGGTGAACGTCTGCCGGCATGGGAAGCGGGGTTCACGGTCGACCCGAAAGAAAAGAAATGGCCGCTTCCGCAATAAGTTTACCTCAAGAGCTCGACGTGATGACCACTGCAGCCCTGACACTCTTATTTGATGATATACATCCCGACCCAGTGGCGGAAATTACAAACACCTCTTGTAGCAGCCAGTTTCTCCTCAAGCAAGCCACCGCGGACTTTCCGCCAAGCGGTACTCATGCTAGTTACCCTAAAAGGCTTTTGTTAACAACCAATAAAGATTTGAACCCGCAACATTGTGATTGTGGATAAGTTAGTCGCTTGACCGGATCCAGCGACCAATGGTGCTGAAGTTCTTTAACACAGTGTCTCCATTGTTAATTACTATTCACTGTACCAAAGAGCCACAGCGCACTGCTTTGCCTGGCTCCCATACGCTGCTGCGCCTGGGAGCATATTAAAGGTGTCCTTGCCAATCTGTGTGCGCACACAGAGGGGGCGGTGGCTGGATACCTTTGGGCCCTAGAGCGGTCACGGCTTGCTGCCTTCTCTTGGCATCGCTCAGGATGTCGATGATGAGCATATTAAAGGTGTCCTTGCCAATCTGTGTGCGCACACAGAGGGGGAGGTGGCTGGATACCTTTGGGCCCTAGAGCGGTCACGGCTTGCTGCCTTCTCTTGGCATCGCTCAGGATGTCGATGATGAGCGTCGCAAACTCGCGAGCGTTGAAGCGTGCGAGCTTCTGCCGGCCCTGGAGAACAAGGATCAAGAGGGTGCCATGCGAGAGCAGAGTGAGAAAAACGCTACGACTACCACTGCGTTTTGACCGGCAAACAGTTGTAAGCGCCCCTACAGCCCGATTGGTCAGCAGCAGCAGCAGCAGCCAGCGGCGGCGGCAGCAGCAAGCACCAGAAAACATCAGCAGCAGCCCGTGCCTGCCAGAGCAGAGGCACCTGTCTCCATCCCGACGTGGGGTTAAGTTGGCCATACTTCACCAGGCTGGTCAGTGCGGGTTGGTGAAGACGGTGAGCATAAACGTGGCGGTATAGTACAGTAGAATGAATTTTGCTGCACTGCCCATTGCTGCCCACAACGGAGCCCCGCAGCAGCCTATAACACCTGTTTTAACACAGTGGTCGCCCATCTAAGCGCTGTCCAGAGTCATCCCTCCCGTAGACTCCGAGGGCCTGACGAGATCGGGCACTTTCTGGGCGATTTGGCCACCGGCCGACACCCTTGCCCCTTAAAGCACGGCTTGCCTGGTTTCTCGTTGATGAGTACTCCGAGTTGACGGGCAGGAACGGCACCACAGTGCGCTCGCTCAGCAGCATGCTGTGGTTCTGCGTTGCAAGCCACACTGCAAGGCACCGCGCGTGCACACAAACGTCCTATGAGCTCGGTTGACCGCGAAAAAAGGGGTAAAAAGTGCGGCCCTGCAATTATTGGCTCGTGCCACTGCTGGCCGAAGGGCCTGCTTCTGAAGTGCCCCCCCCCCTCTCGAGGGTATTTTGGCCTACTCACTCGTGCTGGCCAGACATGCTGAAAGAGGTGCGAGTTTCCCACACTTTACCCAATAGTGGAGGGCAGGGGGGAGTTAATAAACTTTCAGATTGTTTCAACAACCGTCAACATCTCGATACGATGTGCGTCATCAACATCTGGCTGGCGCCTGATGAAGCAAGCTGTAATTACTGGCGAAACGTCGTACTCAGATTGTAAATGCTGTGGCTTGGCTCTCCAACACACCGGTGTGCTGTACTCGTGACGAATTGGCATGTTCTGTTTACGTGACAAACCTTACTAATTGGCTGTGTCGGGTGATGGCGGGTTTAACGACACATTTATATATTTACGCAATCGTACCCAAAAAACCTGTATTATGGGTCATCAACATCATGACGAACATGTGGAAGATTATAGGAATTAAATATGATAAAACCTTCATGCTATCAAGCATGTATGTGTGTACAGATAGCTTTACTAACCTAGCTCAAACTGCCATCTTATGATGATGGTAATGGGGGAAGCTCTAACAGACATTCTTTACAAAGTGCACAGGTTTCTTTAAATTTACATTTGTAGAAAAAATGATGGGACATGAAAATAAAACATTGTACGGGCACAACCAGGGGCATAGGGGAAGGGTCACATGTGCGGGTGTTTCAGAGGGAGAGATTTCATGACAATCACAATACCCTGAAAATTACAGGGTGGGTCCACTTCAAAGAACAGCTTCCAAAACCATTCAAGACTTTGATTCTAAATTATTAATTATAAAATAACGCACACATTCTTGTACTTGCTCCTAATTTAGTGTAGTCGGCAAAATGCAAGTGTGGCTGTGTTTCTCCTTTTTTCTAAGCCAATGTGAATAAGGTCCACAGCCCAAAATGTTCACCTCTGACATATATATTTCTGTAATTTTTTGGGTTTAAGCTTTGAAAATGCCGTATTTTGGTTTAACACATCAGCGAAGCAGGCAATTAGCCGATGAAGCTGGTTGTAATCATTAGCAAAATGTCGTACTGGAATTGTAAATATTGTGGGTTTACTTTGCAATGCACCAATTGGCACATTTTGCATATGTGACAAACCTTACTAATTGGCTGTGTCGGGTGGTGGCGTGTTTAACACCACATTTTATCTTGACGCACCTCTGATTAGCACGATTGGCTACATATGGTGCAAAAGAAGTTCAACATACATACATTATGGACACCAAATTGTACTGTAAAGGATTTATTATTTATCATATACAGTTAGAGAAATCGGGTCAGATCAGACACGCGTGCATATGCGCTCGCACACGGATATGCAAAGGGCCGTAGCCATACAACTAAAGCCGTGCCTACATCACGTGAACATAAATCTAAGCTCTTGCACTCTCCCTCGGCTGGCTCGTCCAGGTCAGCTGAGAGTACGTTCAGCTTCACAGACTAAATTAAATAACTGTTTAAAATGGGGTCTGTGCATGGGGGCTGGGGGCATTTTCTATGCCAACCTTGCCCATAATGAGCGTTCCGTGGGGGCAATCCCTCAGACCGACTCAACTCAATAACGAGACGCAACAGGGTTTTTTTTAATCTAGATTGGCTTAACCTGAAATGGCTCCTGCGAGTTGGGTGTACAGTGAAAGTGAGACTAAGGACAGCCAAGATTAGAGGCAGGACTCCAAGTCTCCCCATTTTCTGGACTGCAGAATAATTCCTCATGAGTAAAATGTAAAAGTGCGGCCCTGTAATTCCTTGCTCATGCCACTGTTGGCATTCGGACCTCCACTGCAGACAGCTAATGAGAGCCACACAATAGGGTTGTTTGGCCTACTCTTCCAAGCTGGCGAGAAGTCTTGGAAGTGGGGGTACTCGTACTTTTCCCCACCACATGTGACCTGCCAATTGGCTACCTGTAGTCCTGCCCATTTATACTGTTGGGTGGACAGAGGTAGTGGGGATTTAAAAAAAAAATATCTCAATGTTTAAACTGCTGCACCGGGAGATCAATCAGGTTACCTTAGGATCACAAGCCCCGTGTGATAATCATTACACCACAGCAGCTTCCGCACAAATTCTTCTTTCGTACCATGACCCTGCTCGTACATACTGCGTTTAATTTACATGTTTTTGTAATGAGAGGTCGGGCTCATTACTTTGTCAAATAAACTTCACGTGCTTTTGAACCATAACTCACACACATTGGATTTAGAATGCATCTAACTGAAAATGTAAGTTCAGATTCATATTAATATATTTTTCAATTACTTAACGTTTTGACCCCAAGACCCTATTTAACATTAATTTTATCAAATGTTATGGTGATGTAGGCCACTCTTGAAAGAAGCTAATTTTAGTTTCAATGGGTTCTTCTCTGGTATAAATGTATGTCTCTTATGTGATGCATTATTACCCTCAAGTGTATGTTTTTCAAATTCTGTAATTTGACAAAGCTGGGCCTCATATTATTAAAGTATTAATATATTGAATTAACTTTTCACTCTGAAGTTCAAATAGCAATAATCTTTTCATTTAATAAAAAAAATAACACCAGCTCCCTCATAGCCAAACTCGCAACATAAGCAAACTTCTCAGGGTAATAAAACCCTAAGAGCAATTTATAATCAAGAAAGATTTGTTACATACATTTATAGCCCTGTAAGGCTTTTTATGGGGCGATGTATCATTTGCCTGAATGCAAATATAAATAAAATATAAATTAAACAAAAAGCCTCCAAGTCTACTGAAGATAACAAATTGTTTGCAGCGTAGTTTTCTCCCGGTGCTCTAAATCTTGAGGGTGTAACTATATTTAAAAGCGAGTAAGCTACAATTAACCGTAATAAGAATAAAAAATACTCTTTGGTTCTTTCGGTAAAGTCACGTAGGTCGAAAAATAATAATAGATCACGACGTTTTGATCGCAACACGAGCAATCGTCATCAGGTGGGACAACCACAGCAAGAAAAAAACTGCTGAAGTAGGCTCTTGCTGTGGTTGTCCCACCTGATGACGATTGCTCGTGTTGCGATCGAAACGCCGTGATCTATTATTTTTCTACCTACGTGACTTTACCGGGGAAAAAAAAAAAGGAGAGTATGGATTCCTGCAGTCACGAAAGCTTCAAATCAAGAATAAAAATGCCTTGATTTAACATTTGCGCTGCAAAAATCCGAGAAAAATCTATTCATGTAGCTTTCAGGAAAACTTGAGGGAGGCATGCTGAAAAAGCATAACAATGCGGGTGTTCATTTTCAAAACATCCACTCGTATTTTGCAGTGAAGAAACGTGTGTGCGCATTCACTGTAAAAACGATTATAAATGCGTCAACTTATTACACTGAGAACCGTCATCGTCCGAGTAGACAACACAAACCTGCGTCAGTTTCCCTGCGATCCACCTCATCGTACACATCCATTGCCAGCTCCTCAAAAAGGTGATTATTCAGCTGTTGGAAAGAGCACATGAAAAGCATAGCGTGCAAGCAACCATGTGCAAAAAACATTCTCTTGCAGCGATCATGAGTTTACTGCGGAGGGCTTCAGAGAACACTTACAGCCTGAAGCTTTTTCTTTGCAGCTTTAGCCAACTCGGAGAGATCCAGGCTGAGCGTAAACAAACAGATCAAAGTCAAATCAACAGACCAGTCAAAACCATCACGATACACTGCAAACTTTAATGTGCAAATAGTCCTGTCAATGCTGAGAGACATGTTTATGGCTTGTTGGACTTTTATGGTAAATTGTTCCTTCTCTGTCATTTTCCTTAATTAATTTCAAATGCGCTATCAGCTGCACGTTGTGAAATAAAGTTGCAACCAATTAGAACTCTTGCAGATCACATAATGGTCTGCAGAAAGAAGGAGATAATGCAGAACAGCTGAGCTCCCTTCAAGTAAGAGCTATTTTATCCGCACTAGAGGGCAATGCACATTCCCATGTGCCCTATTAATGAGCAGAGCTCATGATGTCAGTCAAAACCAATATATTTTTATCTTTATAACCATTATCTCGGCAAGTTGAATGAAAACCAAATGTAATGTAATTTTTTTTATTGGACAGTCATTGGTGACTTGGCTAATACTTAAGGGACCTGGGCCGGAATCGAACTACAGTAAAACCTTGGATTGCGAGTAACTTGGTCTGCGAGTGTTTTGCAAGACGAGCAAAATTTTTAAATAGATATTAATTTGATAAACGAGCGAGGTCTTGCAATACGAGTAGTACGTATACGCTTTGTACTGCCGAGCGTCACGTGATCACAACTGATATACGAGTGCTTTGATATACGAGGGCTTTGGATTACAAACACGTTTCCGGAACGAATTATGCTCGCAATCCAAGGTTTTACTGTATATATGTCAGCAGTGCTGGCTCAGTGCTCTGACCCTTCAGCCATCCCGCCACCCATACATGACTGGAGTTTCATTAAGCACAAAGCAAAGTCAATCACTGACATTGTAAGTTAAACGTATTTCTAAAAACGAGGATTTTCAACATCTCAGATATTTTCCTGCATCATCAGCAGCTGAACATTAAATGCCTATCATAAATATCCTTTTGTTTTTATATGTTATCCAAAAGCAAGCAACATATTGGCATTGCAATGGTCATGCATTATAATATAAAGTCTTTTAAATCAGATAGAATTTATACGATAAATATGTTTACGGCAACACAATATTTTCAGTCGCTATGCTATAATAAAATTGTGTTTGTCAATGAAGTCTTTCATTCTTGTCTAGATACCTGTAAGACATGATCATACTGAATATTTGATCACAGTGAGATGGCTTTTAAATTTAAAAGATACTTACTTTGGTGTCCTTCTGTTGCAAAAGATTGTAATATATTTATTTTAAAGAAGACCGCAGCAAAATTCCAACAGTGAATTCTACATACACAATGCATTTAACAACAGTCTAAGGTGTACACTATTTAGAATTATAGAGGGAGGCTTACACCTTTGAGTATAACATTCATTTACAATTCAATGTAAGGCACATTCTTGATAATTATAGTCTACTCAATAATGTACTAGCATAGCGGATAGGACGGATGCAACACAAGTTTCTATGCATAGATTTCCTTCGAAAAAATGTCACCTGGTTACTTTGCTATGTGGCTTCAAAGAGTTAACAACACTTAGATCTTTTTTTGGCAACAAGTGCAAATTGTTTCCCAGCGTTGGTACACGACACTGCAGGAATTTCGGAACAAATGCACGCGAGGTGCTCTGAGGGGCTGTCATGAAAAGCCGAAGCGCATTAAGAGGTGTTTAATAGATTGCAGTTCCTTACCTGTCAGCCATCTGTGGGATGATGAAGTGCTGGCCACTCCTGTGGTCTGTGTCAACACATTAACAAGCACCCACAAGAGTCAAAGTCACCTATCGTACAAGCCACATGCATTTTCAGACAAACTATTACAACTTTCATAAAGCTAGGGAGGCATATGCTTTGCAGGTGGCTTTCAACACTGTCACGGCTATTAAAATCCATGCGGAGGCTCACGTACTGCAAGGAATTGACAATAATAATGTATGCTCATATTGCGTTCCACATTTGAACCAATCGGCACAACGATGATGTATAATCAACATTCACTGCACAGCATGAATGCAAATGTAAAGGTCGCATCGCTTCCATTGTGTCAAACCGATCGCAGTCATAACTTCCTTTTTGAGCATGAATTAAAAATAAATAAGATGAAAATATACTTGAAGTCAAAATATGCACTTCAAAAGACTTATTTTTAGAACTCCAAACAAAGGGATTTTGTCCTTTTGATGATTATATAATCATCATCATCATCATCAGAAATGGTCAATCCACTGCTCGATGGAGGTCTCCTCAAGCTGCCGCTAGCCTTGTGTAATGTACACAAAACTTAACATTTTCTAAAAGGGAGGCAATCACAAAAAACTGCGTACATTCCCTTCTCCCAATAAAATGTATGTCTGTCAGTACTGTTACCAACTCACCGGGACGCCTTCCACAAAGGTAGAAGGCCAGGCGATCCGTCAGCTCATACTGACACTCCATCAGCCTCTCAGCCAGCTCATGATACCCTGCGAGCCTGTCGGGAGCGACGGAGCAACGTTTGAGCCGCATTATGAAATCGTGAATCTAGAGCTAGATTTCGTTTTATAATAATCATAGTAAATTGACTTCATAACGAATACAGTATTCGCTCGCTCTCGAAGAGAGAACGACTCAAGAGGCACGAAGAACCGCAGACAAGCGGGAAGGAAGCCACACGGTGAGCCGGTGCCAACAATTGTCCAAGCTTTGCGGTCCTCTATATATATTAGGGTGTTATTAGAAAATGTATGAGGAAACCGGTGCACTCGGAAAAAACGCACACTTGCGAGGAGGTAAAAAAAAAATTCTATCCCACGCAGGCAGAAGAGGCGTACTAATATCTCCTGGCTCCTCCTCGGCATCCATGGGAATGGAGTTTCACAACATGTGTGTGATCTACCAACCCTTGCTGCCTCCACAGTGCTGGATTACAGGCATGCGCCACCAACGCCCATATCTGTCACTTTGCCAGGCTTAATATTGTTCCCTGATCTATCGGATAAATCTGGTGACTTCTGACATCGTACGGTGTTAGAACCACACATCGGAAGACACGATGCAATACTGCACGTGTGTGCAAGTAAAGCTGCCTTTGCTTTGATGTGTATGTATGTTGAACTTCTTTCGCACTGCATGTAGACAACCGTGCTAATAAGCTTGTACTGTCGTGAAATGCCACTAAAATCTGTCACAGGTATGTATGTATTTCTCTTTATGGTACAACGTCGTATATCCAACTCACTGGGGATTGAGGTATAGGCAGATATGTGTTATCACACACCATGGATCTATGCTCATGCAGCACCACGAATCTCCTTTGTGAAATTTGCCAGGAAACTGGCTAAACGGCATCATCCATATAACAAATCAAAATAAACGAAACTAATGTGAAAATATATTCCTGGTTCTTTCGGAAAAAGTCACGTAGAAGGGAAACAATAAAATAATAAAAATATAAAACAATAAAATTCTCACGACGTTGACTGCAACACAAGCAATCATCACGTGACTACAGGCATGCGCCACCAACGCCCAATGATGATTGCTTGTGTTGCAGTCGAAACGTCGTGAGAATTTTATTATTTTTTATATTTTTATTATTTTATTGTTTCCCTTCCACGTGACTTTACCGAAAGAACCAAGAATATGAATCCCTGCAGTCACGAAAGCTTTAAATCAAAATTTAATGTGAAAATGTCAAATATGTGAACATGGAGAAAAAAGGAGAGCTCCACTAAGATACTGGAGAAAAATAAAGTCTAAATTACTTTGAATACAGGAAAATTCAGTGTACTTGGAAGTGAATGTATAAAAAATAAAGATTACATGACTGTATTTTAAAATGTTATATTTGTGAACATCTATATTGGGAATTACAGTTATACCATTGCATACATTATTGCGTGTGGGGTGAGCAGTTAATTGGTTAGGATGGATATGTGACGATTGGATATGCGACGTTGTACTGTACGCAGAGAGGTTTTCCAGGTAGGACGCCTGGCTACAGCAAACTTGTTCTCAAGATGAACAGGGGCGATTCTTAATAACTTTCACAGCATTTGCACAGGAAAGCTGTGACTTTCCGCGGGGTATTTATAACTCATGGCTCCTTGAAAAGGGCAAGTCTCCGATAGAGCACATAAATAATTCACTCCTGGAGCTACCATCCACCCGTGGACTCGGGCTAGGGGACGGCGTACGGGCAGTGCCACACTGCTGAATGATAACCGCTGCGCTCTGCTCGCCAACCCATTCGTGAGCGTATCCCTGCCACTCTACACACGCCTAGGGGGCAGGCGTGAGACGGTGACACTAGTCACAAAGCGATCGCCCACAGTGTGTATCGATGTCGTCATGTGTGCGTGCACAACGGCATGTGCCGTATCGTGAATATTAATGAGATTTCTGTACATGGGCTGTTGATTCTTAAGTTTCCATGGCAGCGTCCCAAGAGTCTAAGAAGTAGACCAAGTAGGAATTCATGGGAGGAGTGTTCTCTGTTGACCTCATCTGCGACCTAGTTTTTCGGTTGTTGTCATTGCTTTCAAAATATTTTCATCGTGAATTCATCATGCATTTTCGTACACAATTATACTGGAATTACCTATTCAAGGTTAAGTTAATAATTTCCTTCATTAATTCCACATTAGAGAATCACTGTCATGAAACTCTTTTACAGTGTGGCCTTCCTCCCAATGGGATGTTTCCTTGATGGGAGTTTGAGCATGTGTGAAGACGCCACGGAGTGGCAGGAAGTGACACTTAAAGGTTAATGTAGTTGCATAAATTATGTTATTTTATGCATTCTAATGACTCAATTATGTCAAGTTAAAAAATATTGTTTAAATAACGATCTATGGGAATACATTAACCTCTATGTATCATTTCCTACCACTTCTCTGCTCCTTTGTGGACGCACGTTGATGATGTCACATCCCCTATTCAAGGCCCCAAGGACTGGAGGATATTTTGACAATTCAGGCTACTGTCTAACAGTGTTGGTTGTAACTGTAAGTGAAACATCGCATCCATTTAAATGCTGCACGATTGCTCTCCTTAACACACCGGTGTGCTACAGCGGTAATTGGCACATTTGTTCACGGGACAACTTTATTCATTGTCTATGTCGGATGAAGGAGGGGGTTTATGACGTGCTTTATTTACCCGATCTGACCCCAAAAAAATCAATCTATTATAAGCCCTTAAATTCGTGCATTGAGCTTTCAAATGTGATACAAAAGAATATGTGACTATCACAAATTAAACGGGAGTTATATTCACACTCGTCAAAATGCTGTTGAACTAGTCTGCTCAAATAAATTTAGTTATAAAGAGGCCTTAAAAAACACTGTTAGAGGCACGCTGACTCTTTGCCAACAGAAGAATAAAGCAGTCTATGATAACTGTAACCAGAGTTGGCTTCAACGTCAATCTGTGCGTCACTGCAAAGTAAAACTCCACCAAATGCTAAATTTGCACGTATAGATTGTGCTCCAAACAACCGATAAGTTAATATTATGCCTCGCGCAGGGACTTCACATTTGATTTAGGTGTACAATCAGAACGCCGGCGAGATTGTGCGGAGAATGGTGCCTTATTGATTTTCTTCAGCTCCCGCAGAACATAAAGAAGCTTTACAAATTACATCCCTTAATTTCCCCCGTGGGATTCATTGTTTTTCAATAAAGCATCCATTTCAATTTTCTTTCTGCTTCCACATTACATTGATTGGGTTGGCAGCCTTTTCATTGCTCGTGTTTTTGAAGCTGCTGAATATCCCGGCAGACCAGTAAGGCTAATAATAATAAAACAGATTAAATGCATTGCGCTTAATTTGACGGATCCTGCAACATTTTTTTGGGTTTTGTTTTTATTGTGCAGTAATAATTATGTCCAGCTTGAAAATAATGTTAGTGTACTACTCGGGTAACAAATTAATATCAGAAACATCATTGTATTCTAAGGAAAGTATGTGGGCTTGGGCAGGACACAATTCATTGGTATAAAAATTGCATGTAAGATGTTCACTGTGAATACCCTTTGCCCTATCCTCAGTTGTATGCACAGACTCTGCTGCGGAGTGAGATTAACAAAGGCGCAAATGGCAAAGCTAACAACAGCCTTCATCATAATCATCAGCCACCGTCTATCCACTGCTGGACGAGGGCCTTCCCATGATGGGTTACGTTCCTACCCTCCCCAGTGAATTTAAGACTTTTTCTGTAAACCTTAATATTTCCTGAATAAAGTCAGCCAACCAAAGTATCAACACCTTCCTTTCTTCTCAGTGACAGGAATATACACATTATTTTAATGTACCCATTGCTTAATGTACACGTTCAACTGAAGCAGCAACGATGTAGCATATCATTTATTGAGCTGCAATGACTTCTGGTTGCTGAGCGAAAACATGTCACACTCATTATACACAAAAGTGCTTGCGACAAATGAACCAAAAAACCTTGCTTATCTCGTCAAGGAGCATAAACCATCACGCAAACTCCAGTTATCCTCCCAGTAGCTTTTGACTAACTACCGAATAAAGACGGTCACTGCATTGCGCGCTTTCAGAAGCCACTGGAGCTATGCCCTTTTACATCTATATTGAAAACTTAATTCTTTAGAACTGCTTTTTGTGTTTAGTTTGTTGTCCTTCCCCCGTACCTCCGATTAGCACGGTTGACTACGTACAATGCAAAAGAAGTTCAACATACATACATACATACCGTGCGTATACCACGGGGGTTTTTCCATTCATGTCCAGAGCCCCAGGGTCTGCGCCGTATCCCACCAGCAGCTCTGCCTGAAGCGTCTGCCCAGCCTTGGCTGCCACGTGGAGAGGAGTGGAGCCCTTATCCTGGCGCAACACATCGCGAGACAGCAGCAGCAGCATTGAGAGGGAGGGCACCAGAGACGTATATTGAATACAGATGCGAGCCACGTTTCTCTCCACAGGGACACAAGGGAACAGAACAAATAAAAACAGTGTACACGATTTTTTTTTGACAAAAATAAAACAGTTTCCACCATGATATGAAAAACCTGATAAATAAGTGTTAGATATGGTATACATACTATATTACTGCTGAATGACTTTTCCATTCTGAGCAGATGTCTACCCACACGAGTAGCCCACTTACATTTTATCTTCCACTTCCTATCACTGCCCAGAGCCATAAATCCACCGTACGGCACTTTGGTACGTGGCCAAATGCATGCCAGTCCTCGTGGCCTCAAGAACAACGTGAGATGGGCACAGCACGACGAGGCATGTAACGATATGTCAACTGCCATCATCATCATCACCAGTCTTAATCTATCTACTGCTGGACGAAGACCCGATTCCCAAGCTTTCAACATCTTCTACGGTTCATACGACGTAACGATCTATTTAGCTCCTGCAGCAGACGCAGCACATCAGTCGGTCAAGTTTTTTTTGTTTGTTGTCGGCGAGGTTACTGCGATAGTGCCATGCGGCTCCGACGAGTCTTCGGGGTTGTTATGCGCGTGTCGCTCAGCATGTCTTCTGACGTTTTGCCCCATGTGCTGGGATCTTCTTCGGTAAAAAAAAGAATCGGCAACCACACGTCGGATATGGTGATAACGTGCTATTGAAGGAGTCGAGCAACGCGCTGTTAAAACCCCAAAAACACATCGGAGAGCTGATCACTGGATTATTTATAGTCAGGCAACTCAGTTGGTCCCATGCCTATCATTTTCCAGGGTAGCATGTGTAACCACTTGGGTGGAACCATAATCTCCTTATCTGTCCATGGCAATATCCCGAAATAAATAATTAAATGGCCAAGTACATTTAACTCACCAAGCTTCTCTAACATCACGAAACAGGTTGGCATATGCAATTTTTCCAGCATCAGCAAAAAATGTGCCCTTTATGTGCTTTCACTCACAGTCAAAGCACCCACAGACGTAATCCATGTTAACCTACAATGTCAAAATACTGCCTCTGCATTGATTGCCGAGGACGAACATCAGGACAACATGACAATGGCATTTCTCTCACTGCATCAATGTAGTGTTACAGTGAAGCTGCCGAAACGGCAGACGATTTACTCCAAAGGTAATTCATGCATGAGCACCTCAGGTATTATTCACCAAACTCTCTAATGTCATCCTCCAAACGCATAAAAGAGGCTGCTGAAATTAAAGTGACAGGAGTGGAACAGTGTCCAACACGGTCTAACAGTTAAACGTTTAAAATAATGACAAAGTTTCGTGCTTTCTTCTGCACACTTGATGGGCATGCAGACCGTAAGTACATGATCCAATCGCACGATTAAGACACTTAAACTTAAACATATGGGCTCGAATTTAAGAAAACGCACCAGCTGCCAGCTGCTATATAGGTCATTTGCTGGGCACGGGAATTGAAATGGAATTGGAACAAAACTAGATTAATCACATTTTCAAAACGGATACCTTCATCGAGCAGATTTAGAAATAATGATCTACAATGTACAGATGAATAAATCCCCAAGCTGGATAGCTATAAAGATTCATTGTTTTGGCTACATATGTTGTTTATAGCATCAGGTACAACGATAAATTAAGCGGATCACACAAATAGATAGAAGTCGTGTGCAATTCATTACCCAAAGCAAATGAGCATGCAAAAATTAATTTTCCATGAGTGTACCAAAGTATTTCATTGGAGTCATCAATTACAAACATAAAACAATAATTTGGGTCAGGAGTTAACACACAAGTAAATGACATCCTGCAAACCACCACAGATTTCCAAAGCTCATCATCACCGCTTTCCGATGTGTTTTCGGGTTGTACCGCATGTTGTTCGGCATGTCTGACAGTTCTCTGTGTGTGCTGGGAACTTCTGCAATACACGACCTTCTGCATTACGCGGTACAACCCGAAAACACATCGGAGAACTGTGCGGCACAACTCTAAAATCCTACGCAGTCGTGCTCACTGCCATCATCATCATCATCAATATTTATTTAATATCGCACCTTTTACAAAATTGAACGTCCCAAAGCGCTGTGCATTTAAAAAGATGATAAAATTACAACAAAAAACAGTAACAAACCCCCCCCCCCCCCCAATAACTATTGAAATTAGGCATTCCTAAATAATGCACAATTAACACAAATTACTCATCGTCCACATTGGCAGTCACGCACTGTAAGTCTCCCATGGGCATTTGGCCACGATGCTCACACAATAGTCGGGCAGCAACAGCAGCAGCATCAGCTGGGTCAGGGCCTTCAGTTTCAGGCAAGGGGTAACGGTAAGGGTGCAGCCCTGCAATTGCTCGCGCACGCTATTGCTGGCGGAAGGGCCTCCACAAGCGGAAGCTCTAGAGAGCCCTCTCGTCGAAGGTATTTGGCCTACTCTTCTATGCTGGCCAGGCATCTTGGAATACGTGGATATACCCGTACTTTACCCCACCACACGCAAACTGTTGGTAGTTGAACTGCGGTATAGCCATTTATACTGCTGGGTGGGATTAGAGAACTTTGTACATTGTTTCAACTGACAATTCCGGTAGATGGAATCGAATCAGCGACATTTGGATTGCTGGTCCAGTGCGCTAGCCATTATTCTACGTGGCTGGCTCCTCGAGCCGAATAAAACAAGATGCCGAATTTATTCCAGCTCGCCACGGCAATGTGGCATTCTCACCGTGTGGAAGAAGTTTGCATAGGCCCCCAGGGACAGCAGCCGCAGGCTGGTCTCCAGGTTCCCAGTTCGCACACTCGAGTGCAGTTGCTGCAAACGGGGAAAAACACGACAAGGTGTGCTCGCCGCGGACGTGAACGCATGCTCCCTGCAGCAGGGCGGGGGAGAGGGTGCCGCCGTGCAGCCATAACATCCGTACAACTTTTTTTAAACTTCCTTTGCAGGCTTCTCAATTTGATGGCAATAACAATGACGACGATTTAAATGAATACAAGAGCGGCGTGGCTTTGCTGCAGACGGATTGACTGAACCCTGCAGAAGGAATGTGGCCAACTATGACAACCTGGCGTGCATGCTGGTCATCCATCAAAGTGCTTTCCAGGCTCAACTGCTTTGTTTCCAAGATCCCATGCGATCCAGCACATTCTGGGCAATGATTTGGTCATCGGTACATTCTATCGTACATCTCAAACCAAGTCACTTAATATCGAGTGTGTTAAAGCAGCTCTTTAATGTATTTAAAACACCCTCCATATTCTTAAAATAATTACAAGGAAAAAAAACATTTTGGCCGTAACAGATCAAAATATTCCAGCACAGAAAACTGGATAGGACACACAAGTGATCACTTGGGGTTCCTTCCAAGCGTTTAAATACAAACGAGATGTAGGAGATTTAACATAGCTGAAACATTGTGGCATGGATAACGCTGCGCATACACAGCATTTCACGACACCTCTCAGGCCTTTGTTATACCTTACTGATGTCCTCGGCAGTAACGCTCTCGTCATCTCGAGATGAGAAGCGGTGCACGAATGCCAGCAGCTGGTATTTGGCCCGGATGTACTCAGCCTTGGTGGGGCTGCAGGACGAGACGCGGACTTTGTCAGACTCCCCACCACCCATTGCTAATTCTGCAGTCCAGCACTAGGCAGGTGACGAAAATAATTCAATTGCATGGAGATGCAATTCATTATGGTCCAGGGTCTCGGTTCAACTAAAGGAGGCATTATGTTTTGTCTAAGTTGCCATGTCTGTCTCGTTTGTGTGATCTGTTCTGTTTGTTTGGCCAATCCTGTTTCTACCGTTGGTCCAATTTGTTCCGTTTCGTTTATGCCATTATGCTACAGCTAACACGTATAGCATATATTTTTGACATAATTGCAAGAATGATAAGCAATCAATTCTTACATGCACAATTTCAAACATATGTTGTGCGTTTCAGAAATTAGCTGCTTAGAAGCTGAATCAGAATCCACAGAACCTTGAATGCATCTTGAAATGATCAAAAACAATGAATGTGACTTTTACCTCCTGTTGGTGTACGGCATATAAATTATAAAGAGCATACTTTACCAATGCAGCAGACATCCAGAATATGCTTAGAATAAATGTACAAGAATCTTCACAATTGCTATGGCACTTTGAATTTGGTGTCTATTATCATAAAGCACATTACGTTCTAAAAATAAATTCAGATAGTCAGCAAATTTCACAGAAAAATTTAATTTGTATTAAGGAAGTGATAAATATTTGTGCGGCAATGCCGTCGCAAAAAAATGTTTGAATAGGAGTTATCCCTAATATCTGGCAAAAAAATTATATCTGTGACCTACCTGTGAAATATAGTCACAATAATGGATAACATTTAGCCAATAATAGAGTACTAATAATAGCTGATTTTCACAATTCCAAATTTTTATGGCATTCCAAAGCACGTGGTCACATGGAAAACTATCCTGCGAACCTTACGAAGTTGATTCTACTCAACTTCATAACCCGAATTATAACTTTAAATGTGACTTAAATGTATGTAACATAACTTAACTGCTATTGTTTTGACCTGTAATGTAATTGTACAATTTAACATTTTGCTAGAAGGCTACACAAGATGTAGCTCATAAATCCGTGCGCACAAGAAATGTATCGCTGCTCCTCCATGCCGCAAACGCTGCGGGCTGGCGTTCAACATGTGGGATGCTAAATAAAAATGTAATATTAAAAACAGCTGATTTATGGCGACACAGGACATCCGTATGAAACTTCCAGCTGGGCAGCTGCGCCTGAGTGTGTAATCGCTGGCGGCATCTCCTTAGTATCAAATACCTGTCTCTGGCGAGACTGTGGGGGGAAAAAAATGTCTCAGGCGGGAGGTCAGAGAGGATGGGAGGAAATTGGGTGCATATCTCAAAATATTATAATTTACTCCCAAAAGTGTCGGTCTAGAAAGCCGCCAATTCATCCATCCCTAGGGCAAGGCTCGTCTGACAAGAACGTATCAAGAGCACACACGATTTAACGTGCTGCATGGAGGTGTCATCTATCACCGTGATCATCCTCCTCTTACGAATGTGCTGGGGAAATGAGTTCGTAATCTTTAACTGGAGCAAAAGTGGACTTTTTTGTGGTGACATTTTTCAATTACATGCAGCTTGGCAGGGCTCCTTGCTGTGCTTTTAAAACACCGTTGCCTCGACCTTTATTTTATGACATTCTGAAAGCCGATGCAGATATATTATAGTAATAGAGCTGGGTGGCCTACGCTTAAATTATCATTTAATAAAACTGCTCTATGTTGCATGTGGTTGGGTTATAGCATTCTGAAATTGAGCCAATAACTCGAAAGTCCAGCAAGCCAGGTTTTATGGTTTCAGATCATCACAAACTGCTGTGGAATAAAATGTTACAAAACCAGCAAGACCACGCTTTTCAAATGCATTCGGCTGTCAAATTACAGAATGCATGAAGAGTAACACAAATGCATTCTCAGCTGGGAAAATAAGAACACACGGTTCTGGACATTCAAAAGCACATTGATAACCAATTTATACCGACACAGTGCTATAATAAAATTAAAATAATGCATCGCCAAATATCAGAGAGAAGCATTTCATCTCAGTGCACCTAATCATAAACCTATTTGCTGTGCTTCCTCGTAAAAAATTGTTGCACAGCGGGTGGCCGTCTCACAGATATTCAGTCTCAGTTTGTGGATGATCAACAAACCACACCTCCGAATTGCTGAATTACAGGCATGCGCCACCACACTTGAATATGAAAACATACAAACCTCACCTGCAATAAAAAAACGAGCATAAATATCTTATCTTGCAATAAACCAGCACAAAGTCCACCAAAGCCAAAATTCACCCACCATTGACACCTGATGCTTACATAACATATTTTTTCATTCGTTGTTATAGCTCTCTGAAGAGTTTTAAGCAAGATGTCCAACGTTTCGCACCATGCGCTGGGGAGAGCTGAGGCTCAACCAACATTCAAGAACTAGTGATGCCAGCAGCGGCAGGCAACGTATGTATGTTGAACTTCTTTCGCACCATACGTAGCCGACCGTGCTAATTGGAGGTGCGGGGGAAGGACAAGAAACTCAACACAAAAAGCAGTTCTAAAGAAATTAACTGCTTAATCGATTTCCTGAAGAAGCTCCCAGCACTTGGGCCAAAACATTGGACATCACACCGAATAACAGACGATTCAAGCCGTGAACAAGTCGGGGAGAACTATTAAGCAGAACTGCAAAACCTACGTAGAGGTTAGCTCTTCAAACATATGACGAACAAACAATGCACTCACATTCTTAAACCGAGGAAAAATTAAACCACAAGTAAATCTATTTCTGCACCAGACCAACAAGTAAAGCCTATAACTGAGCATTATTTCAGAACCTCGGATTGAAGAGAACAACTCAATGAAACACTTCAATGGGGTCTCTCAAATGAAACGTGCATTGTCACAACAAATTACATTGTGCCCAATGTATCTGACACGAGGCAATTCTCATTGGTGCAGCCGCACGACCTATACATAATGGTAATATTTACGATGAGCACGTAACTTCCGGCAAATACTCCTGAGAAATAGGCAGAACCATACTTCAGCCAGAGGAAGGTTGGCAAGGACAGCGAACCCCCACATGAGTGGGACGAACACGTGGAAGAAGAAGATACTTCAGCCAGAGGGACATGAACAACACCACTTCATTATTGGAGCACATTACCAACGAAGTTCAACATACACATTAGCTCTTACCAGCCTTGTTTAAAAATGAATTGTTTCCAAGAACATTCATGTTGCGAGTGCAGTATTAATTCTGCCCGTTTCCTCTCTCTATGTAGGATGACCAACCCACACTAAACATTATAATAAAGTAGGATCAAACGACCCCATGTGAGAATGTTACATTTACCCAAATGAAGAAAACAGTACAAATGAGTTTGTAAAAATTATCGCAAAAAAAACCCCGATTCTTGAACAGAGCCACGACCCTGAATCGTCATCGAATCGCTGGGCGGGAATGAGTTAATTATTTACACGCCAAATATTGTGGGCACTCGATAATTATCCTGACACGAGCAAACGAAGGCTTACTTAAAGAAGAAGCTACTCTATGAAACCATTAACATTTACAATCTCGCAACACTAATTTGTACGGATGGCGAAGGATTCACGGCAATGGATATGTGTATGTGTGTGTCTTTGCCGTAACAGCTTTGGTTCCAGTCCAATAACACGGCCTGCACGGGTTGCATCTACGGCTGCTTAGGCTAATAAATCACAGTGATGGTTGACATACAATTTGACGCTTCTTATTCAACCAATATAGAAATAATTGCTTGTGGCTTTCAAGGTGACCCACTGGTGGGAAAAAAAGGCAAGCAAAAAAAAACGTAAGCAAACGGCCTCCCCCCTCCCTTCTCCACTCCGACATTTTCCAATAAGCGTGATTTTGTCAGCCGTATAATGAAGCATCTGCCAGTGTACTGTGCAATGACAACCACATGATAACACCTTAATGGCGGCAATGAATATACGGAACATTAAATTGGCATACTCGATAGGCATTCATTCATGCAATTTAATGCTGCAATTACTTCAATAGTGATGTGAATCAATATCGGAATAAACCAAAATTAACAGTGAATAGTGAATACTGAGCACTGCATTAACGATCAGGACAGAAAGTTTGTGTCTAATAGTGACAAAAACACCGGACGATTTTGGTCATACATTCACGATGATAATGTTTACAGCAATGAATGAAAATTCATGACCCAGGGTGATTAAGGTGAGCGATGGCAGTGAGCACGCCCGTTGATGGCGGTCTGTGTGAGATTTACGGACGGAAATGACATCACTGGCACTCACTGGATCTTATCCTGAGGGTTGGGCTTGCGTCGGCCACTCTGTATCTGCACGGGGTCCAGCAGGGAGTGCTCCCAGATGGAGTTGGCGCCACTGGTCACAAGGGCCTGCACTGTCTGCACACACAGAGAGACAATGATCCTTCCATGAAGCCTTTTAAATACAGACGGTTCTGGCAAGTGCCGTTCGTGAGCACCTATTAAGGATGGCATGGCACAGAAGCGAGGAGGTGGTATGGACAGGACCACGCCCAGCCGCCCCATTGCTGATGTTGGTAAAACACACACCAGATATTCATTTTAAGTGGAGTTGACCTGAGGGAGGCCCCACATTCTGATTCAGATATCAAAAGCCACTGAAGTTAGCTGTGGCTGGGAATTTAATTCCGGTTGCTGGCTGTTTACAGGGCAGTGCAAATGCACGGCAAACACTGTGCCGTGGTGCAGTAACTTCTCAGGAGGGCGGGCAGGTTTTCGACCATGCTGACAATGGGATGACTGCCATTATTGAGCATTGTCTCGTGGTCGGAAAATCCATTGGTTAACGATGAATGCGCAGTCAATTAGATGTTATTGATCTCTGATTGGCTTAACTTGCACGTTTGGGGAAGTGGAAAGTCACCTGTACAGCCTGCAGAATTACCACCTTGATGGTGGGATTTTGCAAGTGTGGAGAGGGAATTGACTCAGCTCCACAGCGGGTGATTGAACGCTTGCTCATCTATTGGTTGAATGCTTTTCAAATTCAAGCAGCTGAATGGCTGAAAAAACGTGTGCAAAGTTCCGATTGGGAGAAATTGTCGACAGCCAGGTGCAACGGCTTAGAGTGGAGCTGCTCTCCCATTGGCTAGGGGCTGTGTATAAAAGCAGACAGGAGGTGGATGATGGTATCATCATTATCAGGACTAATTCAGTTGCCAGACTGCACTATCGGCAGTCGTCACAACAGCAGGAATAGGGAATGAAGGCAAGCAAAGTCAACTCAACAGCCTGCCGGGGACTGCAAGGGATTATGCTGCGAGTGAAATCCTATACTTCGATTTAAAGCTTTCGTGACTGCAAGGATTCATCTTCTTTGGTTCTTTCGGTAAAGTCACGTAGAATGAGAATAAAATCATAAATTGATAAAATAAAATAACACAATAAAATTCTCACGACGTTTCGGCCACAACACAAGCGGCCTTCATCAGGTGAAGGGACGAGACTGTCTGGAGGACAGCGCTGGCGCGAAAAAGCCACGCTCAGATCGCGACCTTTAAGCTGTGTGAGAAGAAACAAAGCGCCTTGACAAAGGAATTGCTAATTGAACGCTTGCTCATCTAGGCGCTTTGTTTCTTCTCACACAGCTTAAAGGTCCAGACAGTCTCGTCCCTTCACCTGATGAAGGCCGCTTGTGTTGTGGCCGAAACGTCGTGAGAATTTTATTGTGTTATTTTATTTTATCAATGTATTATTTTATTCTCATTCTACGTGACTTTACCAAAAGAAACAAAGAAGATAAATCCTATACTAATAAAATATGCTGTACACAATGGTCCTTGGAGTAATCGGGACACCCCTGTGGCCGTCAGGACCAGGGTGAATACTGGCGTATGGCCAGGGCATCGTAGGCGCATGGTGGAAGCAAAGAGCTCTGTCGCTGCTTGCAACACCCTATGCCAAGGAGTAACTTATTTTGCATGGCAGAATGGGGAAAACTATTTTAACTTTAAAGAGTTAAAATGAAGCCTTTACAACCAACCCAAGGTGACAATGAAGGGGGAGGAAAGAACATGCCAACCTGCTTGTGAGTTTCCTGCTACGTGCAAAGGCACCATGACAATCTGTCGTCAGATCTACTGCCCACTGCCTGACGACTGTGGCTTGGCCTAAACAACAAGAAGTGTAAATGCAAACGCTACCAAAACTTGTGGAACGGAAACCCTTTGTGGCTGGGGCTCAAGGATTGGACCACTGCTGGGTGGTGTGGAGTTGTCTCGAGCCGAATGCCGAGGTGGCACGGGGTGTCATCTGGTGGATTGTGGAGGTGGGTGTGAGTGTGCCTGTTAATAATAATTGACATCTAGGAAATCCACGAGTTTCAGGGCTTTTTTTAAGGAGGATCCTGCATTTATTTTAGGCACTTGGTGCTAGTAAGCGCCTACTTGTGCGTATGCATGCACAGGGATTGGCGTCCCACTGCTGAATGTAAGGAAAAGCTCCGTTGGCACTACCAGCAGAAATGTGCCATTTTTAAAGTACCCAGACTTGTCAATACCTGCCACCAAGAAAAATGCTGAACTTATTTAAAAAAAAAACGAGGCCACTGACATACAAATTGCCCTTCAAGGTTTTTTTTTAATGGCTCTGTCAATGGGTTTTAAATAACGTGTACCATCGATGCTTTTAACCTTAAAAGCAATCTGGCTAAATCGTCTTGCATTGCATTTGGAGGTGTAATCCACAAAACTAGGTCAGTACCCTTTAATTCTGTGGGTATAATAAGATGGACCTGATTTTTGCATGTCTTGGATCATATTTGGCAATGAATTAATAAAAACAGATTTGAGTATACAGATGTATATTTGGGGATAAACTATTTAATTCGCACTTTGCTGTTATGAAACTAATGGGTTGGTACAGAATTGACTGGTGGCAGTGGTTATTGCAGTGCACGATGAACCGAATGACCTGCGCTTGATTTTCCCAGCCATGGATATAATCTGCGGCAAATAATATTGGAACTGGATCTGGGCTCCTTGACCACCTCATATTGACCAGCATCGTGAAGTATGGTGTGACAACCCCCATAACCAACGCGGCTATGGAAGGGCCTTCATCGTTCCGTTACTTGACAAAGGGCTGTACATTACAAATGAACACAGTTCGCCTCTCCACATGAATGCTAAAATGTATTTCATGCTTTGAGACACGTTAACCAGCAGGATTTTTCAAAGTGCATAACTCTAGAGCAGATTTGTCTTAAGACCCATGCTGTTCGTATACCAGATTATTGATATGTGCCATCTCTACATCGTGGGCCATCTATGTAATGGACAACACGAGTGCTGTACTAGAATATTATATGGGCAATAAAACATTACTACTATAATGAGCCAAGAATGTGTCCCCCGCGTGACGTAATTACACGAGGCTCACCCCCTGCGTGACGTCACTCATGAGGACCACCCCCAATATTCAATATTCTTGAATGGGTGGATTTTTACACGAACGCAGAGGAAGGTCGAGCCGACTTAAATAATGTATTACGTAAAGTCGCTTCAAATATGATGGTTCTTTACATAGTGAGGGTAAAAAATAAATATACGCAGCACAGTGCTACATTCGTACATGACGTCACTGCAAAAGAGCCCCCCCCCCCTTAATTAATATTCATGCCGGCATGGAAATTTACACTAACGCACAAGGTCGCGCACGCCACATGCCCCTCCCTTCATGAATAATCATGAGCGGGGTGACGTCACTCCACATGCCGCACCCCTCCCAATATCAATTAGCGGGTGATGTCACTCCACATGGGGCAACCACCCTCATTAATAATCATGAGCTGAACAATTTTTCTATTGAATGTTTCAGATTTACTGCAAGATACACCCGTCCTTGGACGGGCAAAAAAAATCTAGTCTGGATATAGAAGAATAGTTTATGTTCTTGGCTATAACTACCAGTACCCACGGGAAGAACTGATTGACATATTGTGGAAAAATATAGCAGTGCCATAAATATATATTTTTTACCTGTGGTAGGATGGCACAGCAGTAACACTTGTGCCTCACAGCAAGAAAGACATGGGTTTAATGCCTGACTCCGGTGCTTTGTGTCGAGTTAGTATGTTCTCTCCCATGTTTTGCATGGGTTTTGTTGATCGACTGGTTTTGTCCCATAGCTAAAAATCACACACTGGTGTTGGTCAAACATCTCAATGCTGAAATTTGACCTGCAAATTACTCAATTGGGATTACATAGCAGCATTGCCCCCTCGAGTGAACATGACAGGATCCCCTTGAAAATGAGTTGATACTGAGGTTTTCCTGGATAAAAAGTACATCATTTAATGTTTTAAAAACCTGCTTTGCAAAGTCAACGCACTGCTTCTAGTAGCCGCATGCATTTACTACGTATAAAACAGCACTTTTATACTAGAGGACGTATTGCAGCAGCGCATTAACTTAAACTCACTACAAGCTTCTCTTTGTTGCCTAATCGCACACTGCAGTGGCTATGCTATGTGCAAAGGTCATGCTTGATATTGGAATCCATAATTCAAATTGCAAGTGTTTACTTTATCTTCATGGCAAACGCAACGTTTGCATAGCGAAGTTCAGTCCTTCACAAGCTTCACAGTGTATGCTGTTACTCTGCTTAAACTGACAACGTTAATGGCAGCGTATGCAAAACAAATGTTCCAATGATGTCGTGTAAAGGTGTAATGTAGCCCTGCAATTGCTTACGCATGCCACTGCTAGTAGAAGGGCCTTCACCAGATGGTATATGGGCCTAGTCTTTGGCCACACTGGTCAGACCTCTTGAACGAGATGGCAATAATCCACACTTCCCACTCCACGTGACCCCGTGGATCAATTGACTAACTGGTCGACCCATTTTACTACTGGGTGGACAAGCTGCTGGGATTTAAGAAATGTGCCCATTGCTTCAACTGCCACACGGGGAGATTGGACACGGGCCTCTGGATTACAAGTCCAGTGTGCTAACCGGTACACCACGGCATTATCCTTGTGTTAACACTCGAGCATTATTCTCCGTTTATTATGTACCCAATGAGTATCATAAGCTATAACCAATTTTCTAATTATACAGCAGTGGACATGAGGTAGTTGTTATTTGTAATGCTGTTGCCATCCAATATTGGTACAACATGCAGCTGTAAATCATCAAGTTCCTCATGGGGGACCTCAAAAGTAATGGCCAGGCACAGATTAGGCAATAACCAGGTTATTTAATGGCTCCAGGACACCTGTGAAAATTGTATTTCGCATCGTGGGTGTTTCGAAATAATATTTGCAATAATTAAATAAACCACCTGTATTTAATGCAGTGTTGCTTTAAAACACAGGCGAAAAAGTATCTTAAGACCTGGAGAATTCAGTGTAATGCAG